TTTGCGTCAACACTAAAAAAAAAAGCAGCCGCAGTACCGGTGCCTCTGTAATTCACACGGCACCAAACGTTTCACTGACTACTTATATACACGCGATTGTCTCCGAACGCCTTCTCAATCGCGCGCGGATACTTAATTTCGTCACCGTTGTCAATTTCACGTACTGCGAGTCTCACACGACAACTGACACGTACTAGCTCCGGCGAAAGCAAAAGAAAGAATGGAAACAAAGAAAGGCACGGAAGGGCGCGTATAAAACTGCGACTGGCTTATTCTCAGGGCCGTAACGCGGAAGGCAGAATGAAAGGTCCACGAGGCACCCACGAGGCTAGAAATGGGCGGCTTTATGCGCAGACGAGAGATAAAAGAGGGACGAGAGTAGACAGATATATATATATCACACACACACATACATACATACATATATATATATATATATATATACACATGTACATACGTATATAGAGGGAAAACGAGGACTCGCAAGTCCGCGCTTGCGAACGAAAGCACAAGGGAGAGTAAGCTCGGTCACTGAGGCGTCGCCACTCGGCTTGCTTCCTCCGGAGTGACTCCCTCCTTTACTTCTAGTCCCCTACCATTTCCATTCCATCCCTCCTTAACCTCCTCCACCTTCTTCTTGTTCTTCCACGTCATCTCCGTCTTCGCGTCTTTACCTCGCGAAAACGACCCCTCGTCGCGAGCCGTAACCACGGAAACTTTCTCCTAATTGTTTGATAGCCACCGTTCCACCACGCCCGTCCATAATCGTTATAGTAATATAGTAATTATATAATATAACGAATATCACAGATGTTCCTCTCCGATGTAATTCGTGACTGAAAATTTTCCGAAACACGCCGCTTCCGAATGCGTTTACTTTTCCGAGGATCCTTGAAAAAGGAATCGAGAAACTCGGATGAAATAATTAAAGCCGGAGTAAAAATAAACGGCTCCGTGTTAACGGATAGATCGGTGGAAGCAAATGGTTCTAGTCGTGAGCAACCGATTATTGTCAAATGGAAATGGTCAGAGATGCATCATGGCGTGGAAATTGAAAATTACGTGAACTAATAAATTACGAACAGCGAGCAGTCAGGAGCGTAGAAAACGCAAAAATTTCATTGGACTCGAGGGCGGCGTAGGTGCATGCAGAAGTTACAAAAACTTCGTTAGGGAGGAATGCAAACAATGCCCGGTCCAAGCTGCTCGGCTCTTTTCTTCGAGTTTTTTTTTTTTTTTTTTTTTTTTTTTTTTTGTTCCCTTCCCAGCTACCCTTCAGGCTCTGCACGCGCGTAAGTATCATTTTCCTTATGGAAATTCGCGGGAACTCAAAGCGCGTCCCCTTCGCGCGACGGGCGTCGTTGAATGCCAGTCCCGGAGTTCAACGTTTCTTTCCTTCGAGCCGGCAAACCCCATAGCTCACCAGCGCCAATTACACCCTCGTAAATCGGACCGCCAATTTGTCATTCGCTCGCAATTCGTTCCTCTGAATATCATCGCGGCTTATCGCGTCGCTCTAACGTATTCGCTACTTAACCCAGCTCCTAATTTCGACACGATAAGGAAGGAACTTTCGATCTCGCAAGTAACGATGATTAATAGATTTCTTCGAAACTGTCTCGTAACTATCGTAACTATTTCTCTTTCTCTGTTTTAATATCCGCATTTCTCACACAGTTTTTCACGACAATTTGACAAGAAAATATTGGGAATGAAAATTAATCAACGTTTGGTCGGCTACAAAGTACGAAAAAAATTTGTAAACTATTTTTGACTATTGTAACTGGTATCGAGACGAATTCAACAACTTACTTATATTATTCCCTTCTTAAAATCACTTTGAAGCTTGAAACGTTGACTTGATCAAGGAAAATATTGTTCTCGGAAATTACTTTAGTTGGATCAAACTATAAAATGATGACTTTCAAAAAGAAAAATGTTGATCGTACGCCATAAAGCATAATTAATATACAGAAATAAACATATCAATGTATAATGTTGCAGTACCATTAACTGTGTTCGAATTATGTTATGAAGTTTATTTTATAAATATTACTACTTTCGTATATGTTAGCCATTTGTGATATGAGATATCTATTCATCCATTCATTTTTTTATGTTATACTTTATTCGTTTCGTAAGTAACCATTCCTCTTACTCAACATTTTGTGATAAATATTCTTGTTTTTAATGCACTTAACTTGGCATTTTTATTCTTATAAATATTTTAGAACCAAGGAATTTTGAACAACATAAAAAGCTAGATACTAAAATGAGAAATGCGCTTTCACTGCACTTTTATTTTAACATAGCATTTAATAATAAAAATTGAAAGTTCTGTTTCATAGAGGAAACATATTTCCGCTTTATTTATTTATTATTTACGAATAATTTTTCACGAGTAACGTTTCCGTTGAAGCAAGTCATTTTCAGATTCAAGGTTATTCCAAAATCATAGTGTGATAGATTATTAAATTTGTTTTAACATCAGCTATCACAGTATGACGTCAATTTATTTCAATATCAGCTAAAATGCGAGACTGTCGTTTTAAAAAAAATCAACGTAATTTAGATATCTTATCGAAAAAAACCACTTTTTTTTAAAAACTTTTTAAAGTGATATTTTATACCGAACCGAAATCAGATTAACTTTCAATTCGAACATTTTTTTTTGTCGAATTGTCAGAATTGTTTTAAAAGTCGCAACACTCTGTACGTACATCTCGACGCGAATTTGACACGATTCGCTGAAAAACAAATGTTACTCTTTGAAAAAAGATCCTTCACATACAATCCAACAAATTTACAAGTATCATAATTCATTTCGAAAAAAATATGACAAGAAAGATTATTAATTCCATTAGGAAGATAATAGTATTAAAATGTTTAAAGCTAGAAAATCATTCTCCCACGTGTAATAAACTTGTTTCGATTCGTTTCTGATATCGTTCCACAACGTTGTATTGAAAAAAGTTGTACAAAGAATTATAAACGATTATATTTGCAATCGAATTCACCATGAGACTCTTTCTGTCGCCGGCAAAATACCACTGAACAGCAGTAACATCTGGCGATCTGTTAATGTAGGAAGGGTCGGCTAGACCAACATTGCAGCCAAGACGGAGGCTGAGCTTACGAGCAAAGCAAATAAACAGGAATTAAATCTGGAAGACTTTATCGTAGGGAAATGGTCCGAGATTTCTCTGTGGAAAAAAATTTAGATTACACATAATATTAAGGATAGAATGAAGGGGAACGAGTCATCAAAGTAGAGCGTTGCTGTTTCCAATGATTTATCGCATACACGCGAAAAGTCGGTTAAACTTTATGAAGATTTCATCGAAACCATCGATAAGGATCGTTCGAGATGATGATCTGGCACAATTCGGAGCGATTGCACAGTTTCAAGCTTCAACGCGAAACCTACAGAGACACGGAAAAAAGGTAAGATCAAGTTTAATTTAGAATTATTCTAAAGAAAACGAATATGATAATGAGATGATTCAGCAACATAAATTTGATGATTTCTAAAAATTCGTCGAAAACTTAATGATTTAACGGAGAACACTATCCATCAATTTATAACTTACAATCCCTTATGTAAGAATTAGTAGGACGCAATCACTAAGCAGTTTTTATACAGATGTATCGTTCGACGCAAGAACTTATTAAAATTCAGTAAATTTGAGTATGTCGTCTTGACTTATTAACTGGGTTATTTCTTTCAAACGATATGAAATATCTATCTTCTGATTTACAATACGAATCAACAGGAAATACAGAAATACTAAGAATGTGTACAAATATAAAGAATGTAATTAAAGGACATTGATTCCTTAAACTGATGTATAATGTAAAATCTGGGCAGAACTCGAATAATAATCAATGTTTCTCCATTTAATAAATAAAAAGAATAGTTCGAGCCGTGTCGTATGAAAATCAGGACGTCTCTTATTTCCGCCAATACAGATGTTTGGACCTACATCGCTGTACTCCAATTTTCAACAGAATTTAATTCCGTTTCCGTTAATTCCTGAGCGACAGAAACGTCTCTCTCAACGATGATCCCAGATTGTAAGTTATACAGGAGACGAGTTCTCCTGTAAAACAAACACGCCGGTTTAAAGATTAAGTTTCCTAAGAGAGAATGATCTTCGACATTAATTAAATAGTTGAAACAATTCGTCAAATATGCCTGCCTAAGTTACAAGTCTTGCTGCACGCCGACAATAGGATCCGCGGGAAGTATCGCGAGAACGACCGGAAGTGGGATACCAAATACTTTCTTTCTTTCGGAGTTTGTGAAGTGTGAACAAGCGCGTGCGCACGTGCAACGATCGCTTCCGCAGTAAGCATGGGCTAAGTATAGAGCCGGTTAGCGACGGGCATTGTTATTGCTTGCACAGCGGGAGCGTTCAGCTTGCGATCCCTGTTTATGAAGGGCACGCTGCTTGCTCGAGTTATGGTCTCAGGTGCGTTCGACTATTACAATTTAGATCGGTCAATCAGCAAATGGTCAACATCCTCGTTTCATATATATATATATATATAATCCTTTCGTTCATTAAATGAAAACTGTCGGACAGTAAACAAATATTGCCAATTACTGTTGAAAGAACATTGTCCGTTGAATTGTCGAGCAATTTGGATTTTAACCAGAGTGAATATGCCTCGTTCGCAACGGAGCAGCACAAAAATGTCAAAAATCTCGAAGCGGTTCACATTGATGGACTGGCGGGAACGCTCGAAGCAATTGAAGGGGATTTTTGGTCAGCTTTGCTCTGGGAGCGTGTGGCCGGACGTAGGCCAGTAGCAACGCAAAAGTGCGTCCGTATATCCGCGTATATGCGTCTGCCTCTTCATAAAGTCATAACTCAGCCAAGCCTGCGGGGCACATCTCTCGGCATAACATTTAAAACGATTTCCGCTGGCAGCAGTGCCAAGACCGGAGCTGCGTTGTTTCGGGGATAGATTAACGAAACATAACGCCAGTACTCGCTACGGACTTCCAAGGGGTAGCTTGGATAATGGGAAGGGGCGTGTTGGCACTGCTCTGGCAGTTAAGCAGTGTTCAGTGTCGGCGCTTGTAGTCTTCAACCCCTACGGCTACAAGCTCGATGGAAATTTTTAACAGAGCCCATGGTCCATTTGGTTCGAAAATATGCTACCAAGTAGATGATTTCATTCGAGAATACAACTGGCCAGTGAGGTTTGCCAAACTTAAACCGCGGAATTAATTAAAAGGCGTATACGCTAATGGAAGAAAAGCAACATTTACATATACGAGGATTAAACAGTATTACACTAATGGAATCGAAATATTATTAAATGGCATGAAACATAATTATTCCTTCAATTAGTAATATGTTACCGATGAGACCGTTAATCGTTCTCAACAAGTCGACGCGAGTCGACAGATAGGGCCAATGGAATTCCATTTCCTTCTACACGGTTCTCGATACATACATGTGTGCGCATACATGTGCGGTACATAATATCGTTGGCAACGTTGGACGCAAACGCGGCTAGTTATACGTTTTCTGAGCCCTAGCCGTGAAAAGAAGTATGCGAAATTCTCATGTTACCCGGGAATAAGAATATATGTAGCCAGCCCTGGCATTTGTAGAAGGTGCACGGAAAGTCTGATGATACATCGTGCACTCTGCGAGTTGCGCCCTCTGTCCTCCGCTCTCCTTTCAACTCTTACCATCGACCCTCCATTCCCTTCCTAACTACCCTTTCGGCGTTAAGAGATTAACTTGTCACGCCGGGCCATTTTAATATTCCGGATCGCGGGGTGAATCGCCGGAATTTGCCTGGAAAGCGCCATACGGCTCCGCCAGCGATAAGTATCTGTTAACGTCACTGCAGCTTTGCCCGCTCCTTTTTTTCTCTCTTTTTTTCTTCTTCTTCTTCTTCTTCTTCTTTTTCTTCTTTTTCTACGTGAAACTGTACCGAACGAGAATTACGGAAGTTAATTTTCGCGCGCGTTCGATGGCTATTCGATGAAGCTTCGTCAGAAATCGAGATGGACAAATTGCTGTCATCCAATTTCGATTCCTAACGGTTTCAAATTTAACAAAAGACAGTTATAGAAAAGAATTTAGACAAGATACTAGCGGATTAACGTAACTCAGGTAAAACAAGTCGGTGTAGAAGAAGTGCGAAAGTAGGTAAATCGTGTTTTAAATGTGTAATCACTTACCCCTGGTAAAGTCCGCTTCTCATGCAGAGCGTTCTGGGCACTGATTGCGCTGTCACGACTGTAGTAGGTGAGAAATGCACAGCCTGAAATACAGCAGAGAAACACCAACAATTAATTATATAACAATTAAAACTGAGACAAAAATTTTCTATATTATTATTAGAAGATAACTCTATATACTTTATTTATTATTAATTTTTTAACTAAAAGCATCAACTGGCAATTTACACATCAGTTCGCCAACAATTTACATTCTTCGTATCTGATACAATTCTAGTGTCCCTAGGTTAATTAATTTTTCAGGTATCTCAGTTATTATGACTTTCCAAGACTAAGCAAAAATTTCTTCTCTAAAAAAGTAAATTTTCTAAGGGACTGATAGTCTATTCATGGACTATTTATTTTTCATCGTAGTAATAAGTAATTTATCTGAATGTTTGAGAACGGTGAATCGAAGATTCGAAAAAGAACACGCACGGAAAGCGTTCGAGAACTACAACTATTATAATCAGAATATCAGAATGGAAAAAAAGTCAGAGAATAACAAGTTTCTTCTTTTGACTAAAATATTTTTTATTGAAAAATCTTTTCGGTATCAACAATTATTACTGATGAGAGAAATTTGGCAACCAAAATAGAATTTCCCTCGCCGTTGACTATTATGAGAAATCGAAATAAATTTTTCCATCGATAATTATTACAAACGACCGAACTAGAATTTTTTTCATTATCAATATCGGCAAAAATATTCTCAGTCACTTGTAATCCTTATCTGCAACCAAAATGTTTAATTTTTCAATCGCGTGATTTTCGGAGAAATTTTCTTTACATTTTGAAATTAACATCCTCGATTTAAATAATAAGTAAGTTTCAATTATTGATTCTTTTTCCTCATAATTTTTGGGATAACTGTCACTTTTAGTAAAGTGGTCGCAACGATGGACACGACTGAGGAAATCAAGAATTGCGTATTCACAAGCCGCATGAAAAGTGAAATCTATACGGAAGGTTTGCCTAGAAGGTAATAAATCACACCAACATTTACGTGACGCGAGTCAACAGTAATTAGATATAAGCGATTGAAACTTTTCTCTGCATAATTACTGGTGTACGTGTTACGAAAACTCCTGCGTTATAATTTTTACAACGCATTGTAATCAACGTGCGACAAACAAAGGATATGTCCGTATATCACGCAGTTGCGGAGTCGACTGAATTCTTCGAACTTTTGGCTTGTCGTATGAAAATAAACACGATGTAACACGATTTATATGAAAGAAATTTTTTCAATATTTCTGCCGATCGAAGGTCGTATAAGATATTATTGGAGTTCGAACGCGCCACGCAAGGATTTTAAGTGCGAAAGCACCAATACTGAGTCACCACTGCAAATAAACAAAAGATGCACGTTTCGGGGAGCATCAGGACTTCAATCGAATATTTATTCGTCTCAAAAGTGAGCGGACAATTGTAAGAGCTGCTGGACACTTTGCGAAGTTCTCGAATCTGTTCCATTATCATTTTCAATACAACCACTTTCTGTTAAATTTGTTGAATAATATTTGACGTGTGATGAAACGCAATGTTAATAAATAATCGTAATATTTCATTAGTTATGTTAACTAAACGCGATTCATCATACCATCCGCGTCTTTCTTCCGTAATGCTATTATCATTGTCACGTGATAATCTCGATGTAGTGACGTAAACTACCCACTAGACTCGCAAATGTTGTACTCACGCAAACTTTCTGCTGGCTAGAATCTAGCCGTTATCTCATAGTTGGTAAATAACAGTATATTAGTCACAGTTCACTGTTTTATGAGCTCGCTTCTTGGTCACTTGCGTGTAGAGATACGCGACATTAAAGTTTCCTGCAAGAAATTTGTTAATTTCTCTTAACTTCTTTAATTTTCTTCGTTATCTGTCTAGTTGACGGTAATTTTCAGCCAGCAACGTCAATATGCGAAATATACAATAATATATCTTGTTGATTTTTATTCTTTTTTTCTTTTTAAGTGGAGACCATCTTTTCATCATCACGTACACGACGTCACAAGCGTGTACGACGATGGCAGAAACATTCTGTACAGCAAATAGTTTACAATCGGATGTAGTTAACGAGTCGATTAGAGAAAAATTCGTATTCGTCGGGACAGCGAATAACGCGTGTTAATCGAATCGTTTATTCGCGCCCCGCCTTGGAAATCGTCTGAAGGCAGCGGAAGTATCGGCATTCTCGCTGTCGCGTCGTAAAATTAATTTTCCAAAACGACTCGGACCAGTTTAAGAACGAACGCCGGTATAGCGGGTTAAAACGATGGTAATTAACCCTAGAATTGGACGGTGGCTGAACCAGACCATTATCGGCTATCGCACTGTCGAGCAAACCTCCTGGAACCGCCTTCCTATCGGTCTGAGGATTTATTCAAAGGGCCTGTTCGTCGTATCTGATCACCATTTGACTATCTCAACACACCGAGATGGATGTAAGCAAGCACGCGCGCACTGCAACAGTCGTGGACAGAACTCGGTCTAAGATCGCTTATTGTATTTACGACACGACATAATCACGACTGCCACGGATACCGCGGCATAATCCATTAACTATTACTTTCATCGATAATCAAGATTTCACTTCATAGAACGGGAATAGTGCATTCGTTCGCCGTTCGGATTCTCAATGAATTTTTCAAAACTTTACCTCTCGTTATATCATTTTTTGATGAAAAATTCATTTTGCGAGATGAAACTATAGGCATATGTACCTATGAATAACGAAGTAGATTGCGATTTTGTTCTCTAATTAAATTGTCATTTTGTTTTGTTCAAGAAAGTGACAAATCGGGTCTCGTTCGTAGTTATTTAACGAAGGATAATAACATCTAACGAAAAAGTTGTTCCTTCATTCTTAATCCGCTGCTTAAATGAAATATTGAATACAAAAATGTATGAAAGACTATTTCTGAAAAAATGAAGATAAAATCTACATCAGTTTTCCAAATGTTTTTCCTGCAATTGGTCGTAGCACGTACTTTGTAATAATTGAACGTAAGCGACAATTACGAAAATGTTGAATAAAGTCAGCGTGACTCCGTTCCTCATAAACCACTCACGTAACTTGCTGCAAATATAAGTATTCCTGCGCCTTCGTGTCATAAAATATTTCCTAGCGGCAGATTTATCGGCGTTGTTTCGTAATAAACAAACAAGCCTGCTGACAGATTGTTCGTCACATAGTTGGAGCATGGAAAATTCAAATCGGTCGCCGGCGTTATCGTTTTCACGGGGGCCGCTGCGTTGCGCCGTGGCGAGGCTCGAGACGTTTTAATCTCACGGAGATTCGGAGGATGCAATTTCGTCGCGATAGCAGGTGGAGCCACGGCGGCCAACAGTTTCTTAGCGGAGAATTACGTCGTCGCGCCGCGTCGGGGCGAAAACGAGAGTAAAAGAGGAGACAGAGAGAGAGAGAGAGAGAGAGAGAGAGAGAG